CCCCAAAACCCCAAAACCCCAAAACCCCAAAACCCCAAAACCCCTGCAGATCGGTTCAATATTGAACAAGAAATTAGCACCAAAATGATTAAAATTTTTCACTCTCACAGAAATTACTATCCTCCTCAACAATGGAATCGCTCCTAGCAGTGAGTCTGCTGGGAGCTCGGAGGGCTTTTACCAGTCTTTCATGAATCTTGATGCGCTTGCTAGCATGGTTCTCCCTTTCTTTCTCCAGCTGTTGTCTGAACTCTTGCTCCATTTCAGCGTTCCAGAGCTCATAGTTAAGTATTTGTTCTAAAAACATAACTTGAAAAACTTACCTTCATTGAACTCCTCAGGAGACCGAAGGTTTACTTTCGGTAAACGTGGTTTCTTAGGCCCACGACGGGTAAAAGCCTTCTTCTTCGTCTTCTGCCGTTTCAAAGATGGAAACTTGACGTTAAAGTCTGGCCAGTTACTCAAAGACATTGTATCAGCCCTAAGCTTATCATTTAGAATGGACTTAAGATTATTAGAAGTGATAGAGGCAACTGAAGAGATCACTTTCGGAGTTGAAGTAGCCTCTTTGCTCTCTTTATCAATAGAATTCAGCTTTTCTACAATGTTGTACAGAGCTTTAGCCTGGGATGACTTCTTAATGTTGGATAAGTCAAAAGGATTGATCACTGGTTGGGAAGAAGACTTTACCATTTTTCTAATAAGGTCCCTACCCTTAGACTTATCCTCTCTCTTCTTACTCTCTTTTACCTGATGCTTATGAATCACCTTAGCTGACTTCCTGTGGTTCCTGAGGAACCTCTCTTTGCTAATCCTGATGTTATTTAGCTAGCTTAGCAGCACCAGAGTTTTGCTTGGCTTTTTCATGTGTGAAACCTTTATATTTAGGGCTGTAAAATAAAGTTAGAGAGAAAATTTTATCCAAAGCCAGGCTATCACCAACTCTATAGTGTCAGAAACATACTGGAACAGCCTAATATGGATGCACTTACCTCTGGTTAATCTCAAAATTAATCTTGCTCTGAATCTGCTGATAGACTCTAGGCACCTGAATTTTCTTCTTTTTCTTCTTAACAACTGCTTTTTTGGGGCTTAAATTTTTCCTAAAGCTTAGCACACAAGTGGCTACTTTTGCTGTTCGATTTTCATAAAGACGTCCATTTGGGATTTATAGTTTTATTTTCTATAAAAATTACCAAATTTGGGGTTTTGGGGTTTTGGGGTTTTGGGGTTTTGGGGTTTTGGGGTTTTGGGG